GCGACTACAGAATTAAATTTTCTTTTATTCCAGAGCCAAACCCGCTTTCATCAATGATTTAAGAAGAATAAAACGTCAGACAGAGAAACCCTTGAATTAACTTTCACAGTTCGGACAGTTTATTTTCCACTAAGAGCTATGACATAAGCAATGATCCATTTTACAGTAGCCCTTCTAGTTATTACAGAGCTTAACAATTGCAGATGTATTTGCAAAACAGAAAAGTTCCAACTGTGGAAAAGGAAAGGTTGATATACAAATATCCTACTGACTACCTACTGCACCAAGTGAACAATATCATAAATCTTTCCTGCAGGGTTTAACTAATCACAGCAAGCTAAATAAAGAAAGAAATTCCATTGGTGGTATCAAAAGTGTTAGGACCATCATATAAAATTCATTGGAATCAAACAAATAAACAATTCAAAAGCACATTTGTTTCAGCAAAGTAGGAAATCAAGTAGAAACATACCCATTGTAAATTGTTGTTGGCCCCAGTTGGTCTGAATATAGATGCCTTTGGATGGAGCTGAAAGAGAAAAGACTTCATATCTCCATAGAAATCACTATGCCTGTCCCAAGGCTGGGAAGCATAACCCCCGTATATATAACCTTCATTATCCTTAATAATTAAGACAGTTGGCCCATTATCATTTCTGCAGTTCAATTGAACAATTATCCATTCCACTCCTACTTAAAAAATAGTCCAGAAAGAGAAACTGAACTAAAATTAGCAAGGACTCAGCATTTACACTTTCTTCAGAAAAGAATAAAAAGAATCAAAGGAAAAACAAAAGCATATGTACACTGTGGAATGCTATCACCATTTTATTCAAGGGCAACCTGTGCCACCCATTTACATACTTGTGGACATACATATTAATGATATTTTCTAGTTATTACTTGCCAAAAAGAACAGAAAAGCTTTTTATTACAATTGTAAGAGTTAACTCATTTGAAAAATAAAATCAAGGCCGCAAGTTGGTGAAATAGTGTAGATAACAAATACAACCCATGTACCAAAAACTAAGGCAGTAGTGCAGCAGCGGAAGGCATAACAAAAACCATTTAGCATATAATTGAACAATGGAGTTTATTAGCAATGAAAATGTAGGGAAAGCCCAGGACAATCACATGACAATCACAATAAGATATGAATAGAATGGAATGTATTGACATATTTTCAGGTCCAGATTTAAATTGAGAAGAAATTAACCAATAAGCAATGCCATGATGACTTACTGAGACTTACAGAATCAAGCAAAGACAAACTAACAAATATTCATAGCTAGAAAAGTTGTAGGAAAGAGGCAGGCTACTTACGTTATGCTGCCCAAGAATGTATTGAAACTTAAGCCATTTGAGGTACTGTGATACAAAAGTTTCCATTCCACTAGCTCTTGCCGGGAAAGAGCTCCTCCTATATGCCAAGCATACTCCTTTCTCAGCAACAACATACTGGAATCAACATTCTCTAAATGCATCAATTTAGGAACTTGACATCCAGGTCGCCCTACAGAAAGGTCTGTGTTCAGCTTTTGGTCCAGAAATTAAGTTGGGGTTATTAAAAATATTATTATATCCGCCTACTTTAACAAGATAACAACTATCAAGTGAATATTTGATACATAATTCATTGAGTTCTAACATATGGAGAAAAATATGTTTCCTAGGTGAACAGGATTGACCAAATTACAACACTTTAGTTTATGATCTTTTGTGAAGTAATGCCAAATTTTGAAATATTGAAACATAATTGAATCCATAAATAAAGGGAGAAGCATAGAGAACCTGGATCAGATGGAATAAGTAGGCTTCCAAGAAACTTTCTCAGAGATGGGATGAGTGTACACCACTTTCTGAAATCTTCAAAAGACATACTTCTATCATTGCATCTTTCATCACCCCTTGAGAAGGTTGCAGCATTAAGAAATATGTCCACCATGTCCCTTTGGGAACTTGATCCAGGTTCAGAACTTTTCACATTGAATATGTTATCAAATATCGTAACTAGAACAGATTCTATGTCAGACCTGATATCAAGAAATAAATACAGTAAGTGAGAATAATAAGAAGTTTTCTAACAAAAGGAACAAAAAAAAAAAAAAAAAAAAGGAGACAAAGAACTTCTAAAGGTTGTACATGAATTTGTTAGCAGGGTAATTGATAAACATAACAAATATTCCACTACTCAACTGCATCTTAGGTACTGAACCCTTTTTTCCTCCTCATATGACACCTTTTCATTCATAACAATGGCATTTTACAATTCCTTTTCATAAATTGAACAAAAAAGGAGTAATATTGCATGCAAAGTCAACACAAGTAGCTCAACTCAAAATCATGAGCGATTGTGCAAAGGACAAAATTAACATGTTGCTATTAACAGCAAAGATGGCAGTTACTTTAAAGGACCCAACAACACCAAAGCCTATGTATATTAAGTGATTATTCTCATACCTCCCCAAAGCACCATCACCTGTGACATCAGATAATTGGTAAACAAACTCCTCAATCTCATCATTTGTTCCTTTCTCATAAGTCCCCTGCAATATGCAATAAGAAGCAAATGCACCAACTGGGTGTCACCACGAGAATCATAACAAGTAACAACCATTAACATTTACAAATTGGGCATGATGTATGTGCATTTCTATGAATCACTAATACACCAGAGTCGAATCCACACAAACCAAATCGAAAAGAAACATTACCTTAGCAATTACGAGGTCTTCAAAAGTCAATTTCTGGTCTTTCCTTTGCTGCGTAACCAAATCAAAGAGTCTTTCCCCAAGAGCCCCTTTCAGTCCAAAGTATGCCTGGACCCAAATCATAGTGAAACGAAAGAGCATCAATGGACGCAATTGGAATGAAAAAAAGAAGAAGAAATAAAATGGGTCACTGAAAACGAACCTGAAAGACAGAGGGAGAGATGTATCGACCGTCGCTCTGTGACTGGGCAGCCATGGACACGAACAGTGCTCTGAGATCTCCTATCTCCTTTTGCGTAAAAGCTCTGCAATAATTAATTCCGCTAGAACTAACTACATAGACTACGGAAAGTGGAGAAAGTAGAAATAGAAAGGAATTGTTCAGAGAGAAACCTGGATGCCGAGGCGAAGCGAGGATTCACCGGAGGTGACTGAGTGTTACCCATTTACACCACTGCTTTTCTTTTTCCGATCTTTCTCTAATTATTTTACGGTTTCGGTTCTTTCCGTTGGCACTCTTCCCTGTATGTAAGAGGTGAAATCACTGTTAAGTCCTCAAACTTATCTCATTTTAGCGAAAAGGCCCTTGAAAATAAAATAAGATCAGCCCCTGCGCTGCACGATTCTTGCAAATTAGTCCATAAACGAACAGGCGATAAACTCCTCCCTTTTTTATTTTTTGAGAATGGTGTTTTTGTTCAACCAGAAAGAAAAAAAAAAAGAATGGTGTTTTTCCGGATTGTAAAAAATTGGTTAAATACCTTTTTTGATCCCTTTATTATTGAAAAAAGTCCCTTTTGATCTTTATACTGAAAAAGTCTTCTTTTTAATCCTTAAAGCTTAAAATCCAACTCCCTTTTTGTCTTTTTATTAAATTTTTACTGACTTATCAAGTTAATTAATAGAATTGCTTGAATATTTTTCATATAAATGATATTATAATTTATGTGAAAAGTACATAAATCCATATAAGCATTTTACTTAAATATTTTAGATTATCTATACAAATTAAAAAATTTACTTGTTAATTCATAAATTAAATGACTTTAAATATAATTAACTTTAATTTCTTCATATTATGCTTTCTTCTCATCTTCATCCTCATCATCGGCATCATCATTTCTTCATCATCCTCTTTGCTATCCGCCATCTGCCTTTTGCCATCCTCTTCACGAGTCGGATTTTAAGTTTTAGACACTAAAAAAGAGATTTTTTCAATACAATGATATAAAAAAAAAAAAGAATTTTTTTCAATAGTAAAGGGACTAAAAATGATATTTAACTTAAAAAAATTCACTTCCTTCTACCAAAAAAAAAAAATTGACTTCCAATTATGAAAGTATCAAAAATATTATTCAATAAGGATATTTAGATACATTTTATTTTTTGCCAAACTTCATAATTGAAAAAATATTTTTTTTCTCAAATTAATTACTATAAAAATTTCATGAAAAAATGAATTTTCAAATCATTACTCAAAATGAAATTTTACAAATGCCTAAAGAAAAGCATAACTACATTTATAGTATTTTTTTGTTTGAGGGATGG